CAGAGCAAGACAGAGAGAGACAGAGAGAGACAGAGAGAGACAGAGAGAGACAGAGACAGACAGAGACAGACAGAGACAGACAGAGACAGACAGAGACAGACAGAGACAGACAGAGACAGACAGAGACAGACAGAGCCAGACAGAGACAGACAGAGACAGACAGAGACAGACAGAGACAGACAGAGACAGACAGAGACAGACAGAGACAGACAGAGACAGACAGAGACAGACAGAGACAGACAGAGACAGACAGAGACAGACAGAGATAGACAGAGACAGACAGAGACAGACAGAAACAGACAGAGACAGACAGAGACAGACAGAGACAGACAGAGACAGACAGAGACAGACAGAGACAGACAGAGACAGACAGAGACAGACAGAGACAGACAGAGACAGACAGACAGACAGACAGACAGACACAGAGACAGACAGAGACAGACAGACAGACACAGAGACAGAGACAGAGACAGAGACAGAGACAGAGACAGAGACAGAGACAGAGACAGAGACAGACACGCACACAGACACACAGACACACAGACACACAGACACACACACACACACACACGCAACACACGCAACACAGAACAGACACACAACAGACACACAACAGACACACAACAGACACACAACAGACACACAACAGACACACAACAGACACACAACAGACACACACACAACACACAACACACAACACACACACACACACGCAACACAGACGACACACAACACACACACAACACACACAACACACAAACACACAAACACACAACACACAACACACAACACTCAACACCCAACACAGACACACACACACGCAACACAGACGACACGCAACACACACACACACACAACACAGACGACACACAACACACACACAACACACACACACACAACACACACAACACACAACACACAAACACACAAACACACAACACACAACACACAACACACAACACACACCACACAGCACACAGCTCACAACACACCCACACCCACACCCCCACGCCCACGCACAACACACACAACCGGCGCGGACACCCACGCGGAGTGCGCACGCATATTTACATATCTAAATCACCCTGTTTTGCACTGCTTTGATGCTGACCAGAGTATCGCTGTCATGTGGGGTTATCCGGTCCTTTAATTTTCTTTGGCTCCCGTATGGTGAGTCTCGCGATTGCATGCTAGGTAATATGTGAGTAGAGGGTCGGATAGCTGTATTTCACAGTTTGCTAGATATATCTAAATCATATTCCGCCGTCTCTACCCCATTCTCTTTATTTATAATATCTAATAGTATCGTGATGATTAACATTATCATCATTATTAGTAATATTGATTTTATAATTATCATTAAAAAAGATTCTTGATTCAAGATATATGAAATCAATAGAATATATATATATACTATAGATATTCATATTATCGACGAGACTAGAAATAATAAATTCGTATTATACTAATTATTCTTATTAATATGATATTCTATCGTGACTATTCTTGGTATTTTTATTTCTATCATTATTAATTCTATTGGGTTTCTTATTTTTTTCTTAGTATCATAATTTTTCATATGAATATTGGAGCCGTATTAGCATTTCTACGATATATCATTTCTATTAATATCTATATAATAAATCCTATAATCTTATCGGCTCCGTCATTTGTTTGGATTGTCGAAGTATTTCTATCGATAAAAAAAATTATTCGAAATATTTTGGATAATAGAAGTATTTTTTTGTAGCTGGGATAATATTAGTAGTAGGGGGGTACATACTATTCTAATCATTGATATTTATGGAAAACTATTATATCTTATCAATATTAATATTACTATAATTGATATTAGTATTATGATTGCTATTATTCTTAATGATAATACTATTGATAAATTACGCATCAATTTCTTTCTACGATTTTTCTTGATTATCGTAGTATAAGCGATATCGATTCGATACGAATATGATTTTATTATAGTTTTTTATTATATCTAGCAATATAGTTCTTATGAGACTAGTCATAAATAAAATCCAAAATTTTCTCGGATATATTGATATTACGAAGATACTATTATAAGTATATCATTATCATTATTATACAAGCGTCGATTTTGATATAATTTCCAGAATCGATAATTTACTAATAAATATAAGAGAATAAAAATCTAAAGAGAGGGCCCTACACCCTTCATGTTCGAAATTTTTAAAAATATCATTATTGGAGATAAAAACCAAATAACGAATAATCTGAAACTATTTTTCTCTGATAATATGAGATTCATATATTATATAAATTTTATATTATGAAATATTTTTCTGGAAATAATTAATAAAATCTGAAAAATGATATTTATAACAAGTATCGCTTCTTTCATTTAATTATAGAATAACTGATAATATAAATTATCGACCTTCGCGAACGCGACAAGACCCAAGTATCACTTACTTACATTCATTTTATTTTATTAGGATATATCCTAACCTAAATTACCGAAAATATCAATATAAACGATATATTTCGGCATTGAGGCTAATAATATATCCCGAATATTTAAAAAGCGACATTCCGTTCGAACCAATATTCCTTATAGACCATCAATATTAGCCATAAACGTACCAAAATCCCATTAACCGCTCATAATTCTTTTTACCGTGTATCCTACCCTCAAGTGTCGTCAATACCGATATAGTCGATAACTTCGTACATACGTGACGGGCGAAATCCGAGAGGGGGAAAGAAACTACTCCATTTTATCGTGTCGGTATGATTAGTATTTCGGTAGATATTTATATCGATTTTCTAGTATTTCTTATTCTCGAAATACCTTATGTATCGATGCCATACCGTTTGTACTTTTTTAATATATCGTTAGTGCTGGATATAAACGCTCGAAGACCCCAACATGCCGTGCATATTAAATTTTACGACGATGCAACCTACATTAGAAATACCGAGAACACCACAGCGGACTACAATCGAAACACCGAAAACACCGGCGCGACCATTGTGTTCGTGACTCCGCAAGAAACCCCCTTCCGAGCAGCCGCCTGCCCAAATGTGCAGAAAATATTGGCCACGCCGGTGTATTCGGCACTTGGGGCCAGGATATGCCGTAGAAGCTGAAACAAACGGCCTATCGCAGAAATCATCGACTACACCGGTTATGTGATCTCCGGATTAGTAAACCGCCCCCCCCCCGAACAACCGGAATCCGCAGTAGTGCGGGGGCGGTTCGCCTCCCTGATCATCTTAGTTGTTTGGGGGGCCGGGGTCTAAGTTATTTGGGGGCCGGGATTCTCAGTTGTAGTACAGTAGTAATTCGTAGTACAGTAGTAGTACAGTTGTACTACAGTAGTATAGTAGTAGTAGTAGTAGTAGTAGTAGTAGTAGTAGTAGTAGTAGTAGTAGTAGTAGTAGTAGTAGTAGTACAGTAATTAGTACAGTAGTACAATAGTACAGCAGTACAGTAGTAATTACGGTAGTACAGTAGTAATACAATAGTGCATTACAGTCTTGTTTTACATGCCTTTCCGGAGCACCCTAGGCTCTCTCCGCTCGTTCCTGTCTCTGTCTCTCCCTTTGCAGGGCGTCACTCTACCTAAACCTTAAAACAAAACCGGGACGGGAATGACGACGACTATTGAGAGGGGTTTAGTTTTACGTGCAGCCCGAGTTTAGCTCTACAAGGGGGCCTTTCCACTATTGAGTTCCGGGCCGAGTTTAGCTCAATTGAGGGGACCTTTACTAATCACGAGTTCGCATAATTTTCGGCGCTTCGGGCCAGGATGTGCTGTAAAAACCAGCACAAACGAGGCGTCGGGCTTGTCGTATTCGCGAAGACCGACATGCCGTTGTATTCGTTTTTCCCGCACATTGGCTCCGCGACAAGACCGACGCGCCGTCTGTGCTGGTCTTCACAGCACATCCTGGTCCGAAGTGCCGAAAGCGCCGGCGTGGCCAATGTTTTGTACGCATGCCGTTTATATTGGTTTTTTACGGTACATCCTTGACATTTGAGGTGAACGCGCGAAGCGTGACGTGCCGTTTGTACTTGCTTTTACGGTACATCCTGGACCTTTGACGTGGACGCACAGGTTCAGGCAACTCAAAATGACTAGGCGGGGGAGGAGGGGGCCCCCTGTTTTTGTCGAGAGATCCAGGAATTGCGCAGTTTGGGCGTGGACCCGGGTTCACTAGTATCGTAGTAGAAACGAAGGACTGGCTACGCTAGCTTTCGTGATCAAGTAACAAGAAACCCGTAGCATGAACACCGCTCACCTTCATGTCACGTATTTCTCGAAAATATCCTCTATTCGCTCTATTCGGTACAAGCCTGCTCAGTCTTTGACACTTGCGCCCTTACACTCAGCACAATGTTCGATTCTGTCAGAGAGTACGGCTTTGGCAGGTCCCTTGAGGCTGCCTGCTTTGCGTGCCTGCAGCCGGCGCTCCTTTCATGAATTTATGGGTACCAGACGGGCTACGGCTACTACAATGGTTCTGGTGCAGTTTCTATCAGGGTTGCTGTACGGCCATGACGGCACTCCTTCCGCTGCTTCCAGAAGTGCGCGTTTTTCTGCTTCTTCTTGGACAGGACGCCAGCACTCTGAGCAGCGGCCTCCACTTTTTGGAGCAAAGAGCAAGTTCTCTACGCTCTCAAGCATCTGACTTTGCATATTTACCTTGTTATACGTTAGATCGTACGAATCATTACAAGTAGATACTACTCGATATCAGCGTACGGTCGTGTATACTAACTACTATGTGTGTTCGTCTGAATAAGTTGTTGCATGTACTAGTTACTAGTATATACGAGCACATATTCGCACATATGGTGCAGCTTTGCCAAACCTTCCCCAATGGCACGAAACCCCCGGCCACCTCCCGTGGTTGGGTGGGTGGGTTGGGAGGTGGCCCCATCCCTTCCTGGATGTAGTTCTTTTGACATGCCTCCCTCGCTGTCAGGGTTGGCACAGTTGACACGCTTTAATCGCAACAACATCAAAATCGGTAAACAGCGACAGTTACGAACACCAAGCTGTTCGCATTCATCAGATACAACATCGCCATGATTTTGTAGATCTCAAGCCTACAGCACTAAGCTTAAAATCGGCGGCTCATGCAGATTCGCGCTCACCATGGGAGGGAGGAAGGGGTAGGCCCCGACGCGGCGACGCAGCACCAGGCACCATGAATAGGCACATGCCACAAAACAAATGGTATCGAATGGTATCCAGAAGTGACTTACTCGTGTCTATTAGTGTTGTTTCCATATTTATTTTAAATTTGTACACGTTTGAAAACATGTGTAAACACTCGATAACACTCGCATATCGCAGATGTACATACATATATATATATATATAGTCCAAACATTCACTCAGATATACACTCACTCCGCCTCACACACATACGCACACCCTACTATGTAACAATATATACTAGCACCACCCCTTTCCGCCTTAGACTCGCAACAGCCCTGCCTGTAACTATGTCATCATGTAATATTCCGAAAAGCTGAATGTAGATCTCCGCCCTCTCCGCCTCATTGTTCATGTACAGAGAAGAGTCTCCGTATGTCGATACTATCGTCCCGGCGATGCAGTGTGTGTTCGTACTTGTTCGCGTATAGGTGTACAACAAGCGTGTGTATTCGTACCAAAACCGTGTGCATATGCATCTATGCACGCATCTCATTATGTACTGCCTGAGCTTCTCGAGCGGCCGCTTTCTCGAGACACTCTGCCTCGTAGGCCTCCAAGCCCATGGCCTCAAGAGTCTGTCAAAGAACTCAACATGCAGGAACAATTGTACAGCAACATGGCTCGTAATGATACATGGCAGTTAATAGTGGGGGTGACAGACGGTTCTATCAGTTCTGTCTGTGTTCTTGAACATGCTTGCGCATGTATACACACATACATGAGCATTTTCTATATAGATATAATGTCTGTTCCCATCTTACTATGAGTTTATTCATACCAACATACAAATACATAGCCATACGGCGACGACTTGTAAGCATAAGGACTTTTGAATTTTAAGAAGACGCTTTATACTACCTCAAGTGGCCGTCGGGCCCGAACCGCCAAGTTTATTTAGCATGATCAATGATGAACCTTTGGTTTTCGAACCTGCAAAAACTTTAAACAGAACGTTTGTACTGCCTCCGTGGCCTTGGCGGTCTGGCCTCCACAAGCTAAAAAAAGCGTCACAAAGTATGGTCCTGATACCAATTCATCAGAACGTGAAGGCTCCTTACGCGCCTTGGCCCGTTCGAAGTGACGCTCTTTTCGCTTGTGGGCACCACTCTGCAGGTGGACCTTGCAGCCGCAGGGTGAATGACGGACAAGAGGTGTGACAAGAACCTTAGAACCACCTCCAGCTGCTTTTCGGTGAGCAGGATTTTATCAGGGCACAGCTGGCAGTGGTATTGCCCTCGAAACGTCTCCTCGTGTTGACCATGGATGGTGAGGCTTCCGGCTTGTCTGGCAATCTCCTCTGCATCTGGCACGGGCGGATCGTCGTCGGAGTCATTGTCACTGCTGCCTTCGCTGTCCTCCTGCAGCAATAAGCTCGAACTTGAAAATGCAAACAGGGAATGTTTGCAGTCCTCATCCTCGTCCATGTCTTTTCTCTTTCTGCCTGCCGCTTAACCAGTGCCGTGTGGGAGTCCAGGTCTGCACAGACCAAGATTCGGGAAACAGCCTCGCTGGGCTCCCGGAAGCAGACGCCTCACATTCAAGTTAGCGAAGAACTCAACAAAATCCAGAGTACGACTCCATATGAGCGGTCCTTTCAAGCTTTTGCCGCTGGGCTGGGGTGACGTCATCGGAGTCGTCATCTTCCTCTGCAGCGCCCTCCCCACCGGCGAAAAGGCCAAGGGCGCGTTTGATCATGGCCAAGGTCCGCTCTGAGAGCGTCTGCACTTCTCAAGGATCTAGAGTCTCACTCTATTGAGCCGAAGGCTTTCTTGCCGCCTCGCGATGTTGAGAGCACTTACATTCTCTTCGAGCAGCTTCAGGAACTTCAGTCGCTCAGGACGTGCGTGTGCATGCGTGAAACTGTTGATCCTCTTGGGTCACATATTGCGCAGCAGTGAACGTCTGGACAGCAGAGCCTTACAAGTCATCGTCCCTGGCAAAAGCTCTAGTTAGTGGCAAAACTTGTTTATGATTTTTCTGAAATATGACCTGGCCATGGACTGACTAACTATGCAAAAGCCCTGGCCCTTACCTCTTCCATCGAGAACCCGAGCTCAATTTCCACAGAATATGTCTTTACATATGCATCGGACACGAGTCTTGTCGCCGAGCTCGTCAAGCGGCACTGTGCGACACTCACTAAATGAGGTCGACTGCAAAACCTGAAATACCTGGCACATGCCATTCTCGCGACTTGCTCCATGCACCTGTTGTATCTGGAAAATTTTCTTGACCAGCAGCTGACGACATTCACGGTATTTGTAGCATCTGTGCTTGTCGAAGCATATCACGGCAACCGACTGTGTTGTTAAATCTTCTTGCCAGAAACTGTGCTGTACTACTTCCATCGGTCGGTTAATAGTATATCGAGACAGTCGCTTGAATCAGGGTTGGACATGAAGAAGCTCGAATTCTTGCCCCATGCCTGCTTTGCATCTTGGACGCAATGCTGCAAAATGACGTGCAGTTGTGCAGTCTGCTGGGTACTGCTTGGCGCGTTCGGAACACGCTTCCAAATGCAAGCCTCGTGCATTTGGCTGCAAAACCGTAGTCCTTCGGCTTTTCGCCGCTCTCCCTGCGCTTTCCAATCCAAGAACCCTCGTTCTCGAAAGAACACCAGCTGCAATGTAAAGCATGGTATGAGTATATAGACTATAGACCTAACCGACGTCCCACAAAGTCATCAATTCTCTTCAATCATATTTCTGCGTGCTTGAAAATGAAACCGCAGGAGACCCAATGGGAAGATCCGCCGGAAAGGCTGCAAGCAAACAGTTTACCTCGGCAGTTGCAGGACCAGCATGATGATCTTGAGCAAAGGGGAAACACGCCACACCAAAATGGCTGTGATTCCGAAAGCCTACTAGGTTCTTCTGCTCTCTTGCCGGAATCGAGTCACATTAAGTGCCTCCTGTCGTTGGCAGCGGTGGTAGCCACTGGCAACAAACCTTCAGTCAGCCATGACTGGGAAAGGGACGCAGGTGTTGCACGTTTAGGCACGATGTCGTGTCAGGCTGGCCCCACCGCTGCCAGCCTCCTCCACCCGTTCTTCGGAGTTGTAGATCGACTCCTCGTAACGGGTATGGAGTTACACCCTTGCAAAGCTAAATCACACCCTCAAGATCATAAGACAGGCAGTCGCTCCCACGCAGTGTGACCCGCAGCTTTCGCGTCCCCGAAGATTTTGTCCAAGGAGAGGCTAAGGGCCTTTCTCGTGCTATTCAGCTCAGAATGCATGGACAAATCGTGAAAGGGTGTTGAAGCCTGACGCGGATAAACTACGGTGCGGAAGGACCTCGTCCAGCATCTTGGGGATCATCGATAGCAGAAGGCTGCAGCAAGGGTCCAGGCTCGGGTTGGTGTTAACCTGCCACGCAATAGGAAATAGGAAACAGGTAGTCAGCAATGCGTACGAAGGAACAAGGTGACAAGTAAACTAGACTTAGAAGATGCAACAGTCGCAATGGCAGCAGCAATTGCAGATGGCAGTAGCGCAACGAGGTACTGCGTATACCCTTCGATGTAGCCCAAGTCGGCAGGGTTTGCTCTGCACAAGCTGTGAATGCCGTTCACTTGGGGGGGGGATTGCCCGTGCAGGGCAGGGTCTGTGTTGCGACCGGGTTCGCTGCGCGAACTGGCTGCTGCCGGAACTTTGCAAGGAGCATCGCCGGAGATGGTGTCTTGGGCACGGCTTTGTTTGGCAGTGGCCGTAGCGTGCCATGGGGCCCGACTTGGCTGCAAACACATCAGGGCGAACCAGCTCCACGGCGGTGTCGTCGAAATAGTCCTGGGCTGCTGTAAAGCTGTCGAACCGGCCTGCGTAGCCGGGCCACCTGCAAAGCTGGGGGGGGGGGCCTTCACGGAGGCAAATGGCCGAAGATAAAGCCCGCCAGAGCTTCCACATCATCATCATCATGATCATGTAGACGACTGTGCAGCTGAGTGGCGAACAGCACGAAGTCCGCGGGGATGATGACGACACCCAATGCACACACTACCAGACACGACTTCAAAAGCCAACCCTTCTCCGCCGAGGTCTGGGATTCTTTAGGAGTGACGAGGAGCCCTTCTCACAGAGAGCTGGCATGTGGCTTTATCTTTAAGGCCTTTCGGCTTCAGGTTTTAGTCATGTTCACAGCACCTACAATTTTGCACGGCATCTGCGGTGCTTTAGCGCTACTGTATCCTACCACCTTTGGTTTGGCAGCGGTTTCTTCCCTGTCGAGTTGTCAGCTGTCGCAGTTTTGGGGGCTTAGCCTCTGCAGCTCGCATTACATCAGCATGGATGCCACTCTCAAGTTGTGCATGAAAATCATGGGACAGGCTCCTTACAGAGCTTCCAAGCAAGTTCGGAACGACGCTCTGTTCGGGGACGACGTGGCATGGCGGCGGCTCTTGACCGTGCGGGGTCGCACCGGAGCTGTCCTTCTCATGGAACCTCTTCCAAAGGAATCATCGGACTACATCGTCGGCGCCATCTCGGATAACTTTTCGGAAGCTCAACTCGTCTCAGTGCACTATGTAGGAACAGACAGGTTCTGTCACCGGCAGGGTTGGAACGTCTGACACTGTCACAGGTAGGGGGGCCTCGACGCTGCAAAAGCCCGGGCCGGATTTGGTAAGCGTAGATGCTAGGGGTGTAGTATAGTAACAGGAGCAGTAGTAGCAGTAGTAATTCAGTAGTAGTAGCAGTAGCAGTAGCAGTTGGAGTAGGAGTAGGAGTTGGAGTAGGAGTAGTAGCAGTAGTGGTAGTGGTAGTGGTAGTGGTAGTGGTAGTGCTAGTGCTAGTGCTAGTGCTAGTGCTAGTGCTAGTGGTAGTAGTAGCAGTAGTGGTAGTGGTAGTGGTAGTGGTAGTGGTAGTGGTAGTGGTAGTGGTAGTGGTAGTGGTAGTGGTAGTGGTAGTAGTAGTAGTAGTAGTAGTAGTAGTAGTAGTAGTAGTAGTAGTAGTACTTGTAGCAGCAGTCGTTGTCGTCGTCATCGTCGTCCTCGTAGTGGCAGTAGTAGCAGTAGCAGTAGCACTGGCAGCAGCAGCAGCAGCAGTTTTTGTTGTTGCTGCTGTAATAGTGGTTGAACGTCTTCGCAAAAGAAGATGCAAACTGTGCTTTTGGCATAGTCGAATATTAAACGAGCTGGAGGAACACGAGCAGCAACAGCTGCGATGAAAAGTGACGGCAAGAGAATCGTGTTTATGCTGACCTCGCTGACAGTTGTATTCTAGTCACATACCCCTGCCTCTCTAGTCCAGGCCAGCAACATCTGACTACATGCGTGCGGTTGTTCCTGGTTCAGCAGCATTACCCTCATCCTGCGTGACGAAGCGTGTCATGTACGAAAAAGCGAAACGCAGTCAGCCCCGCAGAAGGCCCTGACCCAGTGCCTCGATGAGCCAGACGCGAAAGTGTTCGTCAACCATGAAGTCAAAGCCAAAGACCTGTGGGACTCAGACCAAATATTTCCTTCAGACGGATGTGCCTGTCAAAGACTTCTCCACCTAGCGTCCTAGTGCAGATCGACAGTTGCCTGCGGACCGCATACGTTCGGATGAAGGGTCGATATCCACGAGCCAAAGGGACTCACTCTCCGATCGAAAAACAGCTCGATGGCAAGGGCTACCGAGCTTAGCGCATCGTGATCCCGCAGGACAAGAAGGCGAAGAGTCGATTTGGAGATAGCTTCACGGTTTTCTGTGGTGTCGGGCCTCGAAGCAGTGCTGGATGCCACGCGGATTGATCTTGGGGCCAACAGCACGAAGCGTGTCCGCCATCAGAGCCTTCGGGGTCAATCAGCCATTCAAGGCAAGGGTAGCTCAGCTCCCTCCTCGGCCTAGTTCGCACGCATAGACGCACAAGGCAAGAACACCAAAGTGATGTGGTCTCTCTCACGCAAGCCTTCATCTGCGGAAGGAGACCGCTGTGAATGCTCAAGCAATCACGCCCATGATGAGCATCGAGGTAGCTTTGAAACTCCTTACCCGAGAGTTGGTCATGCGAGTCCAGCAGAGTCGTGGAGTCTTCTCAAAGCTGCGGGCACTGTGCAGACGTTGTCAAGCACGCAGTCTAGATTGAAAACGGAGCAACCCAAGTGCAGTACCAGACTTGGGCCCACCTAGAATCCTGAACATAACCCGCATCCAGAATAAAAACAGCTGCGAAAGCGGCAATGCAGCCCTGGCAGATGCAATTGTTGTCCTTGTGGGGTCACTACTGGCTTCATGTCATGACCGTTGTCAGTCTCAGAACATAACTGTGACAGGACATGGGCAAAGGGTGGTGACAGGACAGCAGAGGGATTCATTAACCCCACTAGAGCTTGGAGCAGTGGCCGCAGTAGCCCCCAAGAGCAATGAACCAAACACCCTTGTCCATGACCTTCGGACTTACCCGATGTTCGACTCGCAGCCGCGATTCAGACAGTGACATCTTGTTGGCAGCCTCAAACTTGCCATAGCTGTCGCCATGCTTCCTGAGCCAACGAAAGCTGGGCCCGGTCCGTTTCTGTCTGTGCTGAAAGCGGCACAACCGAGCCGCTGAACTGCGTCGTTGTTCAGATGGACGAAGCGGTCTTTGGTTGCCAAGGTGAAGTTGCTGCTGGTGGTGCGGAGGTATGCCTGCCAGCCATGCAGTGCGAAGATATCCTTCTTTTCAACTTCGACTGGCGACTCGAAGCCCACCTGTCTGTAGAAGTAGCCATGCAACACGCCTCAGGTACAAGTTGCCGTGCCTTTGCATGGAAGCATCCAGACCTGCCTTCAGGATCCTGGGCCAGGAGGCAATATGATCGGATGTCGAATTTCCTGAATCAAAAGGCTACAAGTGGAATCCAGCGCATAGTCTTTGCTCATCCCTTCTTCCAGGTGGCCGCTTATGGATCAAGAATGGCTTCTCGATGTACTTCTGGATGACCCAGGACCGGCTCTTGCCTGAGACACCGAAGCGCTGCTCTGGGCTGATAGACCACGAGTCACTACAGTACTTTTAGCCCGTTGTCCATTGCGGCCCGTGTAGCCTCACGCCTCTGGGACGAGTTGCTATCAATGGCATCCCTGACCTCCTCCACGCTGTCGCAAATGACGATGCCCTTGCCCTGATTTGCCTTGCAGCTGCGCATGAAACCAGAAAGATCTGCATGGACCCGACAGAAACCGGAGTGATCATGCTTCATCATTCGAAATGCCTCGTTTGGTGTCCTGGCTGGGTTGTGCTTGGTTGTAGTGCAACTTTAGTACTGGAAACGCCGCGTTTAGGGGCCTTGCTCGGACATGCATAGCTACGTGATAGCTTTTCTCGTGTCCGCTATCGTTCTGCAGATCAAACCTCGATTTATGCTTATCTCATGTCCGCTGCAGACGAACTCTGCTCTTCCATAATTTGACAGCCGCTCATGTGGGTTCTGGAAAGTGAAAGTCCCGTTGCTACACGCCAGGCGGCCTTGTCCCCAGGCTTCACCAGCCACACACTTTCCTTCCTGGCTCTGAGCTCCTGAAGCGAAACTTTGGACACACTGGCTTTAATGATTAGTGTTCCATGTGCTCCGGTTTAGGGCAGCAAGACAAAACAGTTGCTTTGCTTATTTTGGTCCTCAAAGCTTTCAAGCCATCGCACAAATTCTGGGTCGCCAGAGCCTGTGCGCACCTGAAGTGAAACGTGCGATGGCCAGGGCAGGACAGCTTGGCAAGATGACCATCTATGCAGTCTATGATAGTCTATGCATGTTGTCAGCTAGGTCGGGCTGGGTCCCGCATTGCATGGTAAGTGGCCACAAAGGTCATCGGGATGGCACCGAACGGGTCGCGGCTGTGGCTCGTGTAGTAGCCTACCATCGTTTCCCGCAGGCCGGCCTTCGAGAAGAACAGCTGAACAGCTATCGGTATGAAACGAGGAAAGCCAGCAAAGAGCCGCACGGAGGCAAAGAACCGCCTTGGAGCTGATGAGGGCATTCTTTTCGAAGTGGTTGTGTGCTCGGACGCCCACGGGCCCTGGTGTAAGGTGGCTACACAATATCGGCGGAGCTCAAGCTCAAGAAGCTCAAGCAACTGACATCATCCTCAACCTCAGCTGTGTGGCCTGCAGCCGTCTCGCGCCTCTCCAGCCGGATCTTCGTCTCCTGAGAGGCACCGGCGATCGCTGGCCGGCACAAGCCCCCCACTATGCAGCCGAGCTGCATCGTTGTAGCTCACAATCCAACCTTCCTGTTCCTAGCATGGCGAGGCGAAGCAACGGAGCTTGCTGCGTGGACCGGGACCCGACAAAACCCAGCCTCGGCCATGGCGTTGAGGAAGTCTCGAACCACGTACTGCGACCACAACCTGCGACAAGGGACCCTGAAGATCCAGCAACTTCCTGCACAGAGGCTTCTGCACAGAGGCTTTCTGCCACTAGGCTGCAGCTGTATCTCTGGAGCATCTGCTGCAGTCTCGAGCTTCATGGTACAGGGTGCCTTGCAAGGAGACAGACTGGCCCACACCAGCTACCAGTAAGGGCACCGTTACGCCGTGACGGTGCCTCCTGCCGCCGGCCCAAGTAGCCGGGATCACCAGGGCCTTCGGAAAGAAGAGTCTCAGCCTCTGAACGCTGCCCCTCTCCCTGCCGGGGCCTGGAAACCAAATTCTTCGATGCTTTAAGAGGTCCCGAATAAGACCAGAATTGTTCCCGAACTGGACGACGTAAAAAAGTTTGAGCTTCCTCGGAGTGGGCTGGTGGGCTGGGGCTTGAGGAGCATGGCCTTGCGATACCTTGCGACTTTGTACCAAGCGGCGCTTCGCGAACAGAACTCGTCTTGGTGTCCGCTGATCGCTCCACGGTCTTCGTGGTCGCCCTGACATGAAGCGATGAGGATCGCTTGCCCTCCCCTTCCCCGACCCAGTAGAGACTCGAAAAAGGATGAACATTCTTCAGTCTGTCAAAGCTGCAGCTAGGGCTGACCTGCGGACTCTTCGCCGACGTTTGGCATCTTTGGCGCTCATGGCAAGCCTCGACGTCTCATTGCAGAGCTCACGCAATGTTTGGCGGATTCGAAGGTTCTGGGGTGATATAGGGGTGTGAAGGGACAAACGTGCCTGTCTTCGCCCGCTGCCTCCAACGGGCCCAAATGCCGCGTCCTGAACAGAAGAGGGCTTTCAAGCTTCAAGACTCAAGTGCTCAAAATGTGTCCCTCCATCCGGAGCTCCGTCCGTCCATCCGAATTTCTATTTGCCTTCTTCATCACTCTTTCGCTTCACCACTCTCTCTCTCTCTCTTTCAGCCCTTGCTCCTGTTGTCCACTTCCCTCCCTCCCTGCATCCCTGTTCTGTTTGTCTGGGCAGCGGCGATTGGAGCACTCACAGCGAACAAATGTTAATACTGCCAAATGCGCGCCCGCGATCAGACTGCCATACAAGCATTAAAGTTCCAAACCATGCAAAACCATGTTCAACGGTTTTTTCCCAAACCGTGCAAAACCTTGCTCAACGGGTGTTGCTTTAGGTGCTTCCCCCTCCTGTAAGCACTGTAAGCCGTCTCATATCTCAAGACCACCGGCAGGGAGGACGGCGGTCTGCACCCCAAACACAAACTCCGACCCGTTTTCGGAGCCTGTTTTCGACCCCCTTGCCGGGCTTCCGTCCTGCCACCCGTGATTTTCACAATTTCCCATGTCTCCCCCCCCTTTTCCCCCTCATTTTTTGCTGCTGCCCCCCTGCCCCCCCCCCCCCCACCACCCTTTCTCACTTTCCTTCTTTTTCCAGCTTCCCGCTGCTTTCTTCCCCTAAGCCCCCCCTCCTTCCCCTTTCTCCCCCTCCTTCTGCCCCGCTTCCTTCTTCTCTTTCTCCATCTTTTGCCACCTTCCTTCCTGTCCTTCGGCACTGCTGGAGCCGCCAGCCGAGGCGGGCCGCGTAGCGTTAGAATTACATCTCCCGTTACATGAAAGCGGATAGCCTTCATGGAGCTTGCTCTCTCTCTTCTCCAGCACAGGCCGGGGGCAGGCTGTGCGACCCGTTACCACCCACCGCGTGTTATTGGTCGGCGTGATGTAGACTCCCTGTGCCCCTTTTGAATCACAGGTTTCTCCTCAAGCCATCAACCTCTTCTTTTTCAGTCCCTCTCTCTTCTCTTCCAACGAATGCTGGCTTGAAAAAAGGCAGCAGGCACTCATGTCTACAAATTGCAAGCCCTGGTCCCGTGGACGTCGCGGTGGCTCGAGGCCGAGAAAGGTCTAAGCGAGGGCGTGCGCTCGGAAGACTCGCTGAGCGATGGAGTGCCTTGGTCTCAGGTTCGAGCGTCCCTCGGATCGCTAAGTACGCAAGCAGGCGTTGGTTTCGATAAGCGGAGAATCGAATCAAATCGTGAAAAGTAGGAAAGTCGAAAAGTTTTCTACGGTTCTGTTTGTGGGGTTTTGCTGCACTTGTTCGGGTTTTTCGGCGATATGGCGCGGTTCGCACTTTTCCTGTTTTCGGGTTTACGGCGTTTCGCGTTCTGGGCTTTTCGCACTTGTAGGTGCTTTTCGGGTTTGTTTTGTGCTTTTCGACTTTTCTGCGTTGTTCGATCTTGTCTGCGCGTTTCTAGTTGTCCGGCTTTTCGGCTTTTCACGTTCTTCTGAGCTACTCGAACGGTCAGGTGCGTTTAAGCTTGCAAATTATCGCGTTTCGGTGCGGTTTTCGATGTTTTCAGGTTTTCATACAAAAACTTCCAGCCAGGCTAGGGGCAGGGCCTTGCAAGGCCCAAAGCCAACAGGTTACCTGATGTTACCTGGGTAAGGGTAATTTAGCGTAATTGCTTGCCGTCCAGTACCGTAAATGTAGGCTAGGGCTAGGCTAGGGGCCGGCCTGAGGAAGCAACAAAACGAGTAGCAGTCGGCAGGATTTGCAGAATAGAGCTTAATGGCAAACTTTGCTGAATTCCAAGCCCAAGCCAACCCATAGCCACTTTTAGACTTTTGGATTTTCGCGTGCCGTTTGGCATTCTCCGCTGATCGGGGCCAACAGTCATTCGCAAACGCAGCTAGGATGAGACCCTGTATTTCTGTTTATGCGAGTCCCCAACAAGGCCAACGCTTACAGTCACTTCCAGCCCTCGCCCAACACGGATTGACCGGACGATGCATGATCCCGGAGCAAATGCGCAGGGCAGCTTGAACCATGCAAACTCAATATCTGCACCTTCCATGCTGCCAAGACACTCCAGGAGTCTGTGAGCGGCAGCACGGATGATGCTGATCGTTGGATTGGGGAAGCGTCCGGGACCTCGACTCGAAAGTTGCCGACTGACAACTCACTCTGGCTTTTTTCTCGCAGTGATGCTCTCTCTCCCTTTCTTGCTCTCTCCTTGCAGCCACTCAGGACCACCCTGTCGTATACCACTGCTTCAGTTGAGAAGGCCCTCGTCTCTTGAATCCTGGACTGCGGTGCCTCGAGGTCGACCTCACTCTTCGGCGCATCCTCGTCCTCTAGGCTTGCAGGATGCTCCATTATCTGGCGAGGGGCGCAGAAGCCAACCTGCTTCTTCTCGTCACTGCTGACATCACAAATACTCGAGATGCCCTTCAGAATCCTTCAAGCCCTGGATTCCTTGGAGAAGCAGGTCTTCGCTACAGGCCGGCTGCGGCTCAGGCGTCCCCGGAGAGACCGCTGAAGCTTGATAGGCCTCGCCGGCTGACTGGAGGTAACTTTCCATCCGCAACACTATCGGCGTGCATTCTTGCATCATGACATTGACATGGACTTTCACAGGAATCCCGCAAAACATCGCACTGCACGGCAAGAACAACTCGCAACTGCACGTCCAACTCGAACCGGAACTCAGAAGAATCCCATTTTCCGCGTGGGCCTTGGGAGGACCTCTAAACACCGGCCAGTGATAGCCGGCAGTACGTAGACGCTTTGGTCTCCAGGGCCCATGGCAAAAAGAGCGTTACATGGCAGGCGGCCCACCGTGCTTTGACTAAACACGAACTGTTGGGGCGGCTTGGGCTTGGTTGGGGTTCCTGGGAGACGATCCGGGTCCAGTTTGCTCTCCAGCTAAGAGGCGTTGAAGCATGTTCATGGTTTCATAATCAAGCGCAGCCACGCTCGATGGAGCCCATGATGCCGAAGCAAACACAGACACTGCCAACCGCGAAGTTCTTCGCAGATTGAAGCAGGGGCGGGCCCTAACTTGTTCCCACAGACCCTTCAGCCCCTTCAGACGCTACAATCTGGTTCCCTCGTTTGAAGAATGGAACGAGGGAGCCACAAGCCGGTATGACATGATGACAACACGGTGCCAACGCCCCACCATAAGCTCAAGTCACCTACTCAACACATAGACATCGTGAATGGCTGCCGCAGACCTCTTGTTGGAACTCTTGGGCTTGACTACTTGTTGACCTAAGCGAAGGCTGAGGCGCTCAAAACCTGAGGCCCGAAACACCGATTTCCAGACAAGCCCTCAACCCAAACTGCAAGGCAAGAAAAGAACACCGTGAAGCATGTGCATAAGTCTTTGGTCTCGCGTTCGCGCTGCTTAAGATTGTGTGTGTGTGTTGCGTTGCGGATTGCCGCAAGATTGAAAATCGTGCAGGCAACGAGACCGACGGAGTTGAACTGGATCTGCAGTCACAGACGGAGTTGAACCTTGGCGGGACTTCTAGCTCGTCTTGTATGTCCACAGTAACCATTGCGGCAGCGAAGCTTCTCAAGTTCTGAACTTTCACGCGCATCCTCCTCGCTGTAGCCCAGACCAGATCGAAATGTCAAGGAAAGGAGTTCAATGCTGTTCTCCTTTCGGGTGCTGGCTTCGAGCAACGAAGGCCGGCAGGGCGGCCTTGACGTAGCTGCCTACGGACACATAAGCGAGCGCCGTGGCGAAGTAGAGAAGGTACAGACTGACCCTGAACACTCCGCTAGAGTGAGTGCGGCAGGTGGCAAGGAGGCCAGTCAGGCTAAAGAGAGTAAAAGCGGTCTTTAGCTTTCCCCAGATACCCACTTTCGTCAAAGAGCTCTCACCAACGGATGCAGTCCACTCGCGCAGAGCACTCGCAAAAATCTCGCGCAAAATGATCAGGACTGCAGGTATGGCAAGCAATGCAGCCGTCCGAGATCCCGTCTGCGCGGCTGCGGTTGGCAGCAACACCAGGACGGCGCACGCGAGCAGCTTGTCTGCCACAGGATCGAGGAATTGGCCAAAGGGCGAGACGACCTGCCAGCGGCGCGCGAGGTAGCCATCGACCCAATCGGTTGCAGAGGCTGCAGCAAAGATGCAGGAACATGCCACAGGACCATGCTTCCAGGGAACATAGAACAAAGCAACCACGGGCACAACAGCAAAGATCCGGAGGATTGTCAACGCATTTGGCAGCCGCCGCTGCCAAGCCCGCACATGTCTCTGCTCACGTGACACGAAGAGCCCTTGCGGCCTACACCTGGATCTCAAGGGCACCGAAGCCAGCACCAATGGGAAGCCTGGGAAGCGCTGCTGCAGTTTGCGCGAAAGTACCCGCGGCATGGCCGTGGCTGCGTGGCCGCCGTGGCCAAACTGGCCAGACAAAGCCGCGCCGCTCGCAGAACTCCCGGGCACCGCGGCCATGGCCATGGTGCCGTGGCAGGGAAGCCAAGGCTAGCGAGTTTATGTACAAACTCCCTCATCATTTTTCCAAGCATCCCAATCGTGCGTCGGCCGTGGACCCCCATAATCGAAGCGAAAGTAAGTATGTGCATGTACACCCATCCATCCATGCATGCCGGCATGCATACGTACCATACGTACATGCGCACATGTATGTATGTGTGTATCTACATATGTGCGCAGGCATGTATGCATGTTCGTATGTATGTATGTGTGCGTATGTATACGTCTGTGTGCATGTATGTACGTATATATGTATGTACATATGATGTGTATACATATATATATATATGTATATATATATATATATATATACACACACACACATATGGCGTACCCCCGCCCCCTCACCTGGCCCTCCCCTCCCCCCGTGACTCTATGATTGGGATTGAGGGGTTTGCCTTCAGATCGTACCATGCTTCTTTATATTCGCGCACGACACAACCTCGCCGCGGAACAAGATATAATGGATTCAAACGGATTCGAAACGTATTGAATTGAATACGCCTCGGATTCAAGATTCAAGGTGCTCGGGAGACTTTCGCCCTGCACATTGAATCTTGAACCGTGGATCCCAAGCACATATTCAATCGAATACGTTTTGAATCCGTTGGAATACGCACTCTAGTGGATTGAGACTTGCATGTTGTCGTTTTGGTAACAGTCATCAGTTTGTGCTCCACAGATGTCGTGCCGTTCACTGGAAATTCAGCACAAGTAATTCTGTGCGTTTAGTGTTGTTGCTATTCAATACGAAGCTTCTTTTGCGCACACGTATCGATTGTCCTGCACGAAAGCAGATGTTAATCTCTGCTTGAAGACGTTGCTGATGAAGATGTCAGTTCATTGATTGTTCTCGTCTGTCGATCAGGCACGGAACTATACTCTTTGTATGCGATTGAACATTTTGCTCTATGGGACAACTAAGGCTATACGGAAGATGCTTGTACAGGCTGAATATACACACTTTTAAATATTAATGTTAAAAGCTGCTTCTCATGTTGCTTTATGCTTGCATGCGGTTCTTGAACTGTTGTATGCTCATTTTGATACTTGCATGGTGTTAATTGGTTCTCACAACAAAGAGCCTTGCTCAGTACAATATCAGAATCTTACAACAGAACTCTGACACACGTGATTGCCGAATGGAAACCATTGGCTAAGTGCGAAACTTCTAAGACGATTCTGTTGAAAGCAACACGTCCTAGTTCGATAGCATGGACATGACCCGAACGTCGCACAGATTTAAGACAAACTAAGCTCCAAACAAACATGAAAAACTCAACTAGTAGAAAAGCAAACAAGCAAGACAAATCACGTCGACTACTAAGCACACAAAGCGAGATGGGCTATACAAAGTTTCATAAGGATCTTGACACTAACGATCATGTTTCAGCGAGATCTTTTGAGCACGGATAAAGGAAAGAAGACAGGCACATCAGTCAAACGCCAGGAGCAATCCAAAAAGTGTAGGTTAGATACTCAACACGTTTGTACCCTCGAAGCTTCATATTGACCTGAAGCCGACATATTAGCATTGATATTGGATCATTATTGGTAATCCAGATACTCACGTTTTTGTTTACAAGCGTACACCCGGGTAAGCGCCCGACGAGGCTAGCCAAATCACAAGGTTTGAACTCAGTGTTACTATTTCAGAAGGGGACGCCGTGGGGAGGGGACGCCCTACTATTTAAGCTATTCCAGCAAACGTGGGAAACAGAAACCTGAAACCGGCACGAAAGCAGACATGATACTTGTAACAAAGGCATTCATCTCAACACATAAACCAGTGCCCAACGAAATCTGCAGCTCACGGGAACACTGCGATGTGCAGCTCAGCATGTATCACTGCCACCAGATGGGCACAAATAGGCAAACCAAGGGAGTATCAAGCAAGAACACCAAGTCTCGCATGTTTCCTTCCTGATTTGAGTATTGGAAATGTTGTCCATGGGATCTTCGATGTTCAATATCCAAAGCAAAAAATGGACAGTGAAGATTCCTACTGGTAGCAAAGTTCATCGGGTCTTAAGCAAGGAAAACGGGGACTCATCTGTCCCTGAGCTTGTCGATGGAACGGTGCACATAATGTTATGTATGTACATATGTGAAAGTAAACACTGAGATAGGCCGACGTATGTGTTGTTGATTGTTGTTGGTTGAAACTTCTGAAAAGGGACGACGATGGACATGTACTGCACATTGCGGAGATGGGCTCATGTACACTCACACACACACACACACACATGTTTTTTTCAATTTTCTGTTTTCGTTTGAGTGCATGCATGCATGCGGACATACGTACATATATACATGCACGCGTGCCCGCACAGATATGTCTGCACTTTGTGGCGCTGGCTTGTCTACGTTGTCACTCTGCGCTTTGCAGCCCGAAACTCGGAGTCCTAAGGAGCGGTTGCCCAAAGATCTTCTGCCAGTGCTTCTGGGCTGTATGAAGGCTTCGGACGACAAGGCCAGAAAGCTCAGTACAGTCTCGTGGCAGTGGCAGGCAGGTCTGGGTGTCTGATTTGCTTGTCTGATCCTGATCAAACCTTGTCGCTGTCATTCGCATGAACACCTGCGATGATGGGATCAGCAATACACCGTGTTGAAGCAGCAAGTACAGTAGCTCGTCCTTTTACCGCCACTTTCCGCGCAGCGTCCGCTCCAGTCTTGAAGAGGTGTAGCTGCGATCGTCTTTGCCTGCCGGCGACGATTCTTCTGCCGTCCGACCACGCGAAGTGCATCCACGTAAGCAGGAACCTTCGTCGGAATCCTCGGACCCGTCCTGGCGAACAAAGGGCAGTGTTGCTCTGAGCTTCGAGCTGTTATGAGCTGTACTGCTACACCGTCGCCACTGACCCGGGCTCCCTCCTGAAGGCAAGCAGCTTCCGTCATCTCGGTCGCCTCTCTTAAAATGTTTCGACAGGTTGGTTTTGATAGGCTGCGAGGCCGGGGCCGCCCTGGGATCCTCCTCGAGCTCGGATTGCACCTCGAAGGATCACCAAAGTGGGATCTCTACGTTACGCCAGCCTCAAAGGGCATGGACAATGCCAAGCTCCGCCAGTACCCACTCCACGGAGTCGACACCTCAAAAAACACAGAGGGGGCCTAGATGTGTGACTTACACTACCGGGCTTGGGCTCCCGACAGACGCGACTTCCTCCCCATTCGGCCAGGCCCTGCACCTTCTTGATGCACTCCTTGTCCTTGTACCTCATCTTTGCTTCACTCTCTCCAGTATACCATCCTTCACTGCAGGGGCCACATGATCACCGTCGGCGTCAGGCTGTCCGGGAAGTCAGGAATGATCTGGCAGCACCGCGAGCACTTGTCACGTATAATCGGTCCTCATCCACTTGGAAAATCGCACCGAAGCTACGTCAAGCAACATTGGGAGTATAAGGACATGGGGTGCGAGGGCCCCAGCCCTAGGCCCACATAGCCTCAGAGGCCACACCCTTCATGAACTTCACGGAAGGGAATCGCCGTGCTGCCTCTGCCCAGGGCCTGATCTGGCTGGTTCAGCAGTTCAATAGGATCTCGGCTTTTGCTGCAGAAGGCTGCCAGGCACCGCCTGGTTTGCTTGGGACGGTAGGTGTGCGCCTCATCATCGGATGACATGCTAGGCTGCTCTCTGTGTACAGCAGCACCATCACCCACTGTCCTGACCGGATAGGAAGTGTCTGAGCGGGCGATTGTATTCTGCTTAAGCAAGTAAGCCCCAGAGTCATTCAGAAAAGACATGTCGCAGTGGACATCGCAATCGGGCTGACATTGTCCTAGCCCATCTGCAAAATGCGAACTTGGGAGTCGGTGCCACAAAGGGACAAGGGGAGGTCCGGAGTTTCTATGGTGCACGTGTCGAGGCGCCTGGTGCTGGTGCTTTGAGTTGATTCGGACTGCATTCGGCAGCTTTCCGTGTGTTCAAAACGGAGGGTAATGGAACCACATGGAACCACTGCACCGTCTATACCCACACAAAACAAAAGCCATGCTTTCCTGCACACCACGCCTTCTGCAGAGGCCTCGGTGACCTCTCGGACGTACTCGGCCCGGACGAGCTGCCGCAGCTCGCCGAAACGCGCCGAGGCCGCGGCCTTCAGCTCGGCCTCGGCCGTCGAGGCACACGCCCAGGCGCCCTCCCTCGCTTTGGTTTGGTCGCAGGAGCGGCGCATGCAACGGGACTTTCCATGGCCCGAAGCCGGGGTCGAGGAGCTGCAGCTACAGAGGCATCACATGGCATCACCAATGGCAGGGCGGCTCCGCACCAGCACGGGAGAAGCTGGTAGCCACCCAGAGCGCGATGGCAGCGCCCAGGCAAGCCTGCAGACACATCGACTTTCAGGAGTCCGATGCTCCCGCAGTCCGCAGTGCAGCGAAGGCACTTGGCTACTGGGCGCTGCGGTAGCTTTGCCCAAGGACACGGCGCCTCAACACAGAGAAGTCCTCTGTCTCCATCTTCCTCTCCCCTCAGTCCCTCAATCTCTCCCTCAGAAGAAGTCCTCCTCCAAAGAGGCGGAAACTGTTTGGAGCTTGGGCCTGGGCGCAGCGAGACCGGAGCACTACTGAGCGCATCTGAGCGCTAGCGCATCTGAGCGCTGCTGCTGCCGTGGCGGGGGCCGCCGGGGTCGCGTGGCTCCGAGCGGCCATCGCTGCAGCGAAGAGCGGATCAGAAGCCAAGTCCCCCTGCGCAGATGCGAGGCTCAACTGCACTGCGTGAGCAGTCGGCCATTCGGGTCTAGGCCAGTGTCGTCTTTAGGGCCTCTAGAGGGTAGGTCGGAATCTAGGCCCCCCAATGCCTGCAGACGACTTCTGTGCAACCTGGCGTCATCAGTGTTCACGGTTTGGACATGTTGTGATTACAGACGAGAAATCAAAGATCCACCTGCCATTGATTGACAACTTCACACGGTGCCCTGACATCGGCCTCCATGTCTGCATCGCAAGCCAGAAAGCCAGTACCAAGTTCAACGACCTCATCTACGTCATCTACAATGTTAGGTGTCCCAGCTGCGCGTCCTTCATCTCTGAGCTTCGGGCAGTGCAGCGCTGCTTTCCCTTACAGTGAGATATTTTCGTACAGCTCCCACAATGCCCATCTCCAAGTTCCAACCGAGCATCGCATACGACCAGATGCTCAGGCCGACAAGCACAACGAGCGCAATGACGGAGCATACCACAACAACCTCCACGGTTCGCGCTTGAAAATAATGAGCGGCTTTTGCCAACCTACCGCCTACCGCACAATCAGCATGCAGGGTCCCCGCACGCCGGCGGCTTTGCCAGGCTCCATCCACAGAAGGAGCATGCTTGCCAAGATCCGGGAGCAGTCGAGCGGAAAGCAAGGGACCAGCCTCAAAGGTGGTTCACAACTTCGCCAAAGACGTGTTCAGTCCCCGGTTGCTGAGGCATGCGCAAGTTAAAGAGTAGCATCGCAACATTGGTATCTGGCGTGATGCGTCGCGTGTCACAAGCAACTTCCATGCTCCACAGTTGCAGCCGAGCCGCTCAACATGGCAATGCACCTGGTCGGCCGCTTCTCGTCTCAAGCCCCCAATGATGTGATCATTGATGCGCATTAGGCTCATTAGGCCAACGACACTTCAGCACATGAAGCATCTGAAAGAAGGGCAAAGGCGCACCAAGCTGAAGAAGTCCCGATCGTAGAAAAGACCGCTCAGAGATAAGGTGACTTGACCATGAAGCACTGCTAGGAGCAGTGCCCATGCACCTGAGATACCGTGGAGCATGCCCCACTCTACGTTGCTCAGGTACTTGTCCGATTCAGCCCAAGGCACCAAGCATTGGCAGATGAGTTGCAGGACCAGCAGCAGAGATAAAGATCTGCGCCTGACAAGCGCTTGTCTTCATCAGCTTGGGATGAAAGTTTGAAGGCATGAGAGTGTGCTGTAGCGCCGCCGCCGGTCCTTGGGACCAACGACGGCTCCTCCGATAAAAGCCAACCCACCCAGCGGCCAGAGAAGTATGTGATCAGCCGTGCATCCGCATTTCCTGCGCAGGGCAGTTTTGAACAGAGCATCTATAGTTGCCGTCGGGGCCTAGCGGCTAGGACGTGTCCCAGCTCGTGGATCAAAACGGTGATGAGCCTGCTTTCGCGGCAACGAACATCAAACATCAAAATGCTGCGCTGCCTCGCAGTCAAGTAACAGTAAAGGCCCGGCAACGAGAACAGCGAGAACGACCTCACGATCTTCTTGAGGCGCTCGGCACTCTCACAAAGGGAATCCCCGACACTGTTTCGATCACACTTAAGCTGTGCGCGGAAAGCCATGGATGGCCTGAAACAAGTGGGCTGAGGCCAGCCAGTACCACTGTCAGCGGAAGAAGCACCTGTAGGACGAGGAGACTCCTCTGACACCCTGAGAGCCCTCTCTCAGTGTCTGCTGTTGCTTCTGAGGAGCATGAAGTCGAAGCCTCAGATTGCAAACAGCCAATGGCAAAAGCCAATCATGGTGTACGTGCAACTGTGCAACTCAGCCACGGGATGCCCAGCACCTTACCGCATGGTATGGAGAAGTGCTGGATGCCTGGGCCTGCACTCTCCAAGCTGCAGACACGCCCTTGAACAAACCTTTAACGGCACCTCCTGGACTTGCAGGCGGCACAGCATGCGCCTGCAATGCAAGGTTCCTGCAAACCCAAGACCAAGCAATGAGGACCAGGCCTGTTCGGACATGCAGATGACTGAATTCGGACCGCAAGTGCCGGGCTTGGTCCAGATCTATGTGCATGTCAGCTCTCACGTTGTATGCTGCATGCTGTTTACCCTTCGGACTGCCTTTCCAAATCTTTCCAGCTCATCTATGCTCAGCTCTGGTTGTGCGTGTCCACTGTGCTACGATCCGTAACGGCGCCAAAACCGTGCTCAGTGTGGTCCTAGGGTGGCGGGCCTTTGACATGTCCGGCTTTCTCGGACCGCTGTTGCTCTGAGGAGCCGGGCCAAGCGCTGCTTCCGGTACTTCCGCAGCAGGTCCTCGTCCACTGGGGCCTCCTCCAAAGCCTCCGCTTAATTAAGAAGGGTCGCGGGCGATTCAGAGAGTCGGCTGCGGAATCCTCCAACTCTTCGAAGCTTCGGTGTTCGAGGGGCTCGTAGGCCTCAGCCGCCTCAACCTGAGCCAGCACGCTGAAAGGCAGAATAATCCGAATCCCTACGTGCCCCGCCAAAGCTTGGTGAAGTTCTCGTTGTGGAACCTCCTTCCTTGGCACGAAGGGCATCTCCCGACAGCAAAAGGACCTCCTCTCTGGCCTGCTTCCCGCTTGGGCAGGGGCACCAAGGGCGGCAAGTTGCCGAATTTCCGCTGCACATCATCCTGGCGAGTGTAGACTCGAAGCTCGCAGGTTATGGCACTTGGCATGGGAAAATGGGAGCCAGCAGATCCCATTCGGTGGTGTCGCCAGGGCACAAGGCCATGGCTTGAACAGTCAAGGGGAGCCGACGGTTGGACTGGATCGACTGAGGGCCTTCGTGAAGCTTTGGGACAGGACGGACATGGTTCTTGGTCATAAATCGGGGCTCGAGGCTTGGCACCTGAAAGCTGCCTGACATGACTTGAAGCCTACTGCAGGTACCACCGCGAAGCTAAGCCTGGAAGGTCAACGAATGCAACCGCGACAACCATTGCAACTCGCTTCAGAGCGCCTGCGTTGGGTGACAGACGCCCATGTCGGGGGCAAGCCGTGCAGTGACACATCGAACCACATTCAGGATGCAGATATGAGATTTGCTGTACTCTGCGAAAAACAGGATAGTCCGAAGCATTGGGATCGCAGATGGTCACAGTAATACAAGGTCAGATTAAACTTTCTTATAGTATGTAAGAGAGAGAGAGAGAGAGAGAGAGAGAGAGATGTCATATGGAAAATCGTCTGGCGCAGCACTTATGACTTATGCGAATCTTTACATGCGGGCATGCACCCACACTCAAGTCAAAGTCCGTGCAGCCCAGGTCGTCGTAGCTTGCCCAATATGGCACAAGATACAGCCAAGCTCTTAGAAGAGATCCGCAGGATACGCTGACCTCGACTCTTTCATCAAAGCCACCCGGTAAACTAATCCAAGCTTCGAGATTCGTCGCAACAGACAAACTGCCGCTCAACCCTGACCACGCGTTAAAATCCACTGAACCCGCCACACCAGATAAACCCTCGCAAGCCCCAGCACGAGAATCCAGTCTTGAACGGTGAACCGTTCATGCCAGGATGTCACACAACTAACCCGAAAGCTGAGGTTCGTGTGAAACTTTGAGGCTTATGGCTTGAGGGTATAGGCCTCTCATCATTGGGGGGTCTAAAAGCACGGTGGTATGGCTTCTATGCAGGGCAGAGGCCTGCCTTGTCTGCAACTCCCACCAAACTAACACACTGGGCTCGCATGTGGGCCTAACAACTCTGTGACCATGGTGCCATCATATGCTGGCATCACATTATCCCCTAACCCTAAACCCTCTGCCTAAAGGCAAGCTAGTTGGCGATTTTAACTTTGGGCCGAGCACACGGAGGCTCCTCGCGAATGCACCAATCCAGGAAGCGCATGTTGGTGACACGGTTGCCGCCCGTTCGACAGGCGAGTCTCAACTGCAGCTGGCACCCAGGCAGCCGTGGTCTTGCAGCAGAATACTTGGCGCGGAATTGCAGAGTCTCCACTAGTACCGGAATCCTGGTGCTAGCGTCAGGTTCTGAAACATGGAGCCACTCCTCTTCCAACATCCAATCCAGGAGGGTAGCAAACGAAAGTGCTGCAGCCGCTCGTCCCACGTCTTACAGCTGGGCAGGCAGCACAATGGCCCTGCATGCGACGTCTGCGTGAACCAGCAACGACCAATTTCCCGAGTCGGAGGAAATCACCCGCGTCGGGGTTGCAGCTTCATTCATGAGAGCTGCAGAGGTGCTGCCGAAAATGTCCGCAGACAGCATCAGGTTGCACACAGCCAGGCGCCGGAAACTTCTTCGTCTAAGGTGCCCTCCGGACTCTCTCAAAACCATCTTGGGAGAACCACGTCGATGTTGAAGACGCATGACCACATGTGGGGAATACGCAGTAGGCCGCTCGAAGCCCTGTCAAATTCCCGAGAAATCAGCTCAATGATCGTCTCATATCGCCTCCTTACATATTGACCTGAGAGCGGCAAACGATACCAACCAAAAGATGTCGAAAGGAAGTCTGGGGTCTCTGCCTGGCACTCGTCCCACTTCGGTATCCTGCTCCATTCAGGAGCCACACGCAACTCCAAAACATGCGAAGGTGCCTGACGGTGCTTGCACTCATCGCCGCGGCCTTGGCACACGCCCATGGAGGCACTGCCCGTTGTCGCTGTCGCAGCTCAAAAAGTGACCCACCGAGCAGGCATCGCGCGGACACAGTTGCTCCAAGACCTGGATCAGAGAAACAGGAACAGATCAACCATCTCGAATTAACTGGGCAGAAGGAAAACTCTGCACCAGCTACGCCTGCGCATGTACACGCACATAGTCTCTCTCTCTCTCTCTCAGCTCAGCCGGCCACTGCCACTAGATCCGTGGGAAGTGGGGCGTGGGCCTAGCATACACTTTGAACAAACTACCAAATGTGACCTTTGACCAAAGCATGGGGAGACCGACCTCGGCAAAGGTGCCGTCCAGGAAAGAGAAGCCCAGATGGTATCCTCCAGGCTTGCAGAGATGGACATCCATCGGTGGTCTAATCGAGTTTTGGCCCGGGCTGTGCAAGAAGGTTTGCGAGCACCACTCCTGACGAGGCTCGGAAGAAAAAGTCCACTTGTGCTGACTGCTCTCTCTGCCTTGTCTTTCAGAAATTGCTCTTGCGAGCCGTACTTTCCATCCCCAACCAGGCAATGCCCCGCATGTGCCATGTGGATCCGGATCCTCGGGTCCGGCGCTTCGTCGCTTTGCAGGGCTTCGTTGGGGGAAAGCTCGGGCCCAGGCTGATGTCGCCTCCCGGTCAAGATGCGGACAGCGACCAGACTGAATTGAAGCCCTGCCTGCAGGCTTTAGGTCAACTTTAGGTGTTGGGCGGTCGTTGCACGGAATGCTTTGGTATGGCCATGCCATGCAGCGCACTGCAGGCCTCACCACCGCGGCGTGCGTGGGCCAGGACTTTTACCTCTCACGCGTGAGCGCCTTGCCATGTAGTCCGCTTGACATTGAAACATGGGCCCGCTGCCTGTGTCACCGAGGGCTTGCCATAGTGGCGCACCTTGGAAAAGGACACCTCTGGACCTGGCTGGACACCTCTGCGAAAGTGGCGGAGCCTCGCTGGGCAGATTCGTGCCCTCAGCCTGAAAGGACTGAAAGGAGCAGAGTCGCAAAGCCCACCTTTCTGTTACTCTTTCACGGGCCTAGGGCCCATGCCCAGTACAAGGGAGCCGCGATTGTGTCCTGTGTTGGGGGCACCTTGGAAGAACACGTCATTTCACACCAGCCATTCCGAATATTCCAGTGATGCGTACCCAGCCGTGGCAGAGGACGATGTAGTCACGGACCTGACCAAATGGCCACACCACCAAACGACGACCCCAGGACAACAGATCGTTGGGCTTGTGGCCACCTGACCCGAATTCATCTGCAGCAGCAGGTCGTAGTAGGCCTTGCAAGAGGCGCAGCTCTCCGCTGGCCGCTGGAGTGCGCCGCCAGTCGCTGTAGCCGAGCCTCGTATGTCTTCGCAAGGAGGATCAGCCCGGAGCAAGGCGCATCGAGACGGTGCACGAAGCCACAGCCGGCTTCCTGAGCAAAGCCCAAAGCTGCCGTAGCTCCGCGTTGCTCCGCGTTCTGCTCCGGACGGCTCGGACCAGGCGAGGCGCTGTGTCCGCAAGAAGCGGCCAGCGACTTGGAGACAGGATGTGGTGCACGAAGGACCTTGACACTGGGCACCCTGGACCTGTAGCCTTCTCGTTTCTTGCGGGGCTGTGGGGCTCGACGAGGCTCTCAATACCCGGGCCCCGAGCGTAAGCCGGCGCGGCTCCCCCAACTTCGGCTCAACGCCGAGCTTCTCTTGGTCCACCTACGATGGAACTCAGGCCGTCCAACAGGATGAATAATTAAACAGAGTTGCCCAGAAGCTGCTTCTCTGATTTTGTCTGGCTCGCCTGCCAGCCAGGAGGCTTCTGGATCACGAGGCAGTTGCTTCTTTGCAGAACCTCTGCAGAAAGTCGTGTGCCGCTTCAAGGAGGGACAAGCCTGGGGGCCTAGCCACA